AAGGTGCTGTGCCTGGGTCTGGGCAACCCCTTGTATCAACACAGGCTGGGGGATGAACAGATCTAGAGCAGATCTACTGAGAAGGACTTGGGATGCTGGTGGATGAAAGGCTGGACATGAGCTGGCAATGTGTATTTGCAGCCCAGAAAGCCAGTCGTATTCTGGGCTGCATCAAAAGCAGTGTGGCCAGCAGATCTCAAGGGAGTGGATTCTGCCCCTCTATTCCACTCTGGTGAGACGCCACCTGCAGTGCTGCATCCACCCCTAGCATCCTCAGCACAGGAAGGACATTGACTTGTTGGAGTGAGTCCAGAGGATGCCACCAAGAAGGAGGGACTACCTCTCCTATGGGGAAAAGCTGAGAGAATTTGAGCAGTTCAGTCTAGAACAGAGAAGGCTTAGGGGTGACCTAATTGTGGCCTTCCAGTTCCTGAAGACAGCCCATGAGAGAGCCGGAGAGGAACTATTTACAAGGGCATATAGTGACAGGACAAGGGGGAATGGCTTCAAGCTGAAGGAGGGTAGGTTTAGAGTAGAAGAATTTCTACTTTGTATTATATTAGGAAGAACTTTGGTGTAAGGGTGGTGAAGCACTGGAACAGGTTGCCAAGAGAAGTGGGATACCCCATCCCTGGCAGCATTCAAGGCCAGGTCAGATGGCACTCTGAGCAACCTGGTCTAGTGGAAGCTGTCCCTGCTCATGTCAGGGCATTTGGAACTAGACAATCTTTAAGATCCCTTCCAACACAGGCTATTCTATGATTCTGTGATATCTGAAAGTTACTCTACTGAAAACACATTTTCTATTGTTCTTCAGCATTGTTTTTCAAAATTAGTATATATGTCAAAATTACTATATAGTAATTACTACTGTTACTGTAACTTACTCAGGCAGCTGAGGCTGTGCAGTTTGGCATAGTGAATCAGAACAGCATGACTAACTCTGTGCAATGACACCTATGAAATGGTTCTCAAGCTAGAAGAAAAATTAGGATCCTGAACAGTTAGATAGAAGTGCATTATTTTCCTGGACATAAAATTTTCCTACTTAATTTCAGCAGGAAAAAATATATTATTTCACATATGTTATTTTACATATTTAATTTACATTCTTATATATACAATTGTATAGAATTACATATGCTATATATTTTATCCTATATACATTGGTATATATTGTATATATGACATCTTATTTAAGATATCATATATACATAAACACACAATGCATAATGTTGTTATTTTTGTTTATACTATTGTTCTATATCTTCCCCACGCAGTATTTACTCATTTCGTAACTTCGGGGCATTCAATTTTCTGAGTGTTTTTTTCAGTGTTGTTTCTTGTTACAGTTATGACTTTCAGAATTGATCTAGACAGCTTTCAGTACAACTTCTGTGGGAATAATGATTTTTTGCTGCTAGATGGTTGATTTGGTAAACAGCAATTTTGAAAAACAGAAAATAAATAAAGGAAAGGGAGACAGTGAATGAGAAGAAGAGATAAAAAGATAGGAAAAATATTCTGTATATATCTGACAGTGAAACAGAAAAAATAGTATACTTTTGAGAACAAAAAGCAAGCCAGTGGTAGAGAAATGAGGAAAAAAAGTCCTACTTCCAGTGAACAAATTCTGCTTTGCATTCAGGCTTCATTACATGGACTTGGAGCTCCTAAGTCTACTAAAAGGAATGCTAATCCATGGAATGGAGGGCATAGCTCGCTATTGCAAGAAAAGAACTAAACCTATCGGCTTATATCCAAGTAAAAAGTATTTTGTACTTACCTCTTGGACAACTTTCCTTTTTCCTTTCAGGTTTTCCAAAGCATATCTCCTTACCACTGCTTCAGTCTTCGGTGCCAGTTCCATGTTTCAAGAGGTTTTATACAATCGGTTATTATCAGAAAAACTCCTATCTTCAAACCAAGTGTCATATTTCATACCTCTTTGGGTTTGTTGCTGTGAAAACAATGACACTTCTCTTTTTAACTTGGTGTGCTTTGGGTTGCCCTGAGGCAGTCACTGAGATTCTGTAGTTTGTTTTACACATTTTGTGTGTGTTGAATGGTCAGTCCTCTTACAGTATAATGCAAATAATAAATAACACTGGGAACTTGTCTTACGCAATCATGAGCTTCCAATAAAAATATGATAAAGCTGTCTACTGATGACAGAATGCCATAACTATTTCCTCCATGCCTTAAGCAGAAGATTAATGGGCTCTACCAATACATCTTTGCTTGATGAACCTTACCCCCTAGCAACAAAGGGCCCCCTCAGGCTTCTGGACAAAAGGTACACAAAACTGTCCTACCAGCAGCTCTTAAAACCTGACAAATAGTTGTAGAAATTTAGGGTTTGTCATTTTTGCACTTAGCACTCCACCCCACTGGCATTCTGGAGAACAGAGGAAAATTGTTAGCTATTAGGCTTGGAATCAGACAGCTATTTAGTCTTGGAAGCAGACTTTAAAAGGCTAGAAAGGGAAGTTAAAAAAAAAAAAAGGACAAAATGTGAAGTTGCTCCTTTAACACATCCTTACTAGGCAGTAAGGGATGATATGGAAGAATATTAATCAAGTAGGATACCTTCTAGAAATCCCCATAAAGCAAAGAGAAAATATCTGCTGCCCACCCACTGGGCACAAGGGTAAAGTACACAGTCCTTTTTTTATCTCCCTGATGCCTCTCTAATGTTGGCTATGGTGTGAGACTGTCATGTTATATCAGATGAAAAAAAATTAGTATACATTAAACAAAAATGCAAACAAAATCCAAAGAACATATGGTCTAGAAAGATACAGGAAGGAAACAGCGAGAACAAAAATTGGTTTAACAAATTCAGCAAAATAATAGATGGTGAAGATGACATCATTTGCTAAGTGACAGAATTAGGCCTGTTTTAGGACTGTTCTCTACATCAGATACATCTGGTATCTCACCAAATCACTTTATGTTTTTACAGCTCTAAAACAAAGGGAAATGCCTCTCACTGTAGAAGGAAGTAGTGATTATAGTTGCAAAAACAATATATACGATATATTACAAAAGAAATGAGATCTCTAGCCAAAGAGAAAACAAAACTACAGCAAAAATTATTTTGTGTCTGGGATGTTCTTGCTTCTCATTGGGTCCTGCAGAGTCTCTGGGTGATTGGCCACCCCCGACCAGCTGGTGCTGCAGAAGGGCAGTGCCCCTTTCCAGCTCATTGCCAAGGGCTCCAGCCTTTTCCCACCAGCCAGGGCACAACCTGCAGTTTGCACACCAATCTGGGTGTGTTCTGCAACAAATTTGTAGGCTGTGAAAGGTCTGCACATGACAGATCCTGAGATGCAGGATAAGACATCATTGCAGATACTACATAAAGCCTGCGTCTAGAGCATATACAATGATTCATATATGCAGAGCAGTCTTGACATGCCCTCAGTACCCAACTGTTTTGGCAGATCTGCGTCATGTCCACCAAAATTCAATTAAAAAATAAAAGAAAGAGGAAAACACTTTAGAGAAGTAAACAGAATCCAAAGCAAATTCACTGAATTAAATGCCAAGGAAAAGGACACTCAGCATTATTTTTCAAAGAAAATCAAGTTTGGTAGGGAGCAACTTGGAGCAGTTTCTATGCAATATTATGAACTTCAGTTCTGGAGATGTCTTTTTAATTAAGTAGCCTGAACAGCAAATCTTTAGAAGTAAAGGTTCTTGAGAATATATGAATTTTATTTTGCTTGAGTTTAGTCTGTAGCACTGAGAGGTATGATAAGCACTAGAAATATTGTTTAATACAGTCACAAAAACACTGGTTTTGCCATTTGGCTGATTGTGGACCCCTCATCTTTTACACTCAATTCACAAAATGTCAGAGTGAAATAATTTGCAGGGATGGTGATATGAGACTTACTGAAATAAGTCTTGTTCCAGTACACTCGATAGCACTTAAGGTGCTTCAGTTGTTTATGATGCCAGTCAAAGACAGCGTGTAACATTGCATCTGCGTAAACAGAGTGTCCTCACAATGTTCTAGGGGCCCATCTAATTTCTCTGGAAAACTCTCTGGAGTTTGTTTAACTTTAGAGTTTAAATCCTGGTGCCTACAAGCAGACTAGAGACATAACTTTTAAAATAACCAAGTCACTCTTAGTCATCAATCTACAGTAATAATTTTTTTTAAATTAGCTGGTGTCCCTACACATGAATGAGCTGCAAATCCTAGGATCAGCACTTGGACTCCATTTTGAGCATTTTGAGTTATTTTGCCTTAAATGTTGCACTGTGTAATGCACTGCACTGAATGTTAATGGTTCTCTGATGTGAAGTCTCCTCTATGTAAACTAACCTAGGAAACTAGTGAGAAACGTAACTGTGAAAGAGGAATTTGTTCACCCTCTCCGACTGCTCGGGCCAGTTGAGTGCGGCTAATGCTGTACATCAGTACAGCTGTTTCCCTACCGATACAGCTCCTCACTCGCATGCCTCGCTCACAGTAAAGCTAAGCAGCATGTATAAAACATTCTGAAGAACAGCCTGTCTGCTTTCTTCCAGCACTGCACTTAAAGCTTTTTTATCTTTTCTTAACACAGGTAGTTCGCGTTCCACCGTAGCTTCCACCCCACTCCCCCGCCGT